TAGTTCTGAGGAAGGGTCACTGGACCCGAAACATTAACTCTGTTTTTTCCCTTCACAGATGCTGCCAGACCTGCTGAGCTTTTCCAACAGCTTTGTTTTTGTTTTTCTTACCCGGAAAAACTTGTCGATCTTACTAAGGTTTATCCGTTTCTTGGTGTCCAGCTTGTAGATATTGCTCACATTTCCATCCATCAGATACAGGCCGAAGCCCATCACCTATTAACAGAGGAGAAAGTTAGGACAAATACCAGCCCATTGTAACGAGATGGAGGGTGTCAAGACGAGTGTCATTTAGCTCCATCACAGTAACCTGCTCACTGTTGTCCCGTTTGGGTTCCATCAGCTCTTGGCCTCATTGCAACTTTGGTTCAAATACAGCCAAAGGAGGTGAATTCCAGGAGTGAGGTGGGAGTGACCATCGAGACCACAATGAACCCACTGGGACAGAAAACTGGCATCAATGGGCCATTGGGGGCAAACTCTCTCATGGTTGGCATAAATGAAGACAGTTGGGATTTGTTGGAGGTCAGTCATCTCAGTTCCAGACATCGCTGCAGGAGGTTCCTCAGGGTAGATATTTTCTAACTCAACCTGTTCAGAGATGTTATGACAGGTGGGCCTTGTACTTGGGCCTCCTGGTTTAGAGGTGGGGACACTGCGGTTTCTCAGACTCGTATCCTTGGTCCAACTGTCATCAGCTGTTTCAGCAGTGACCTTCTCTCCATCATCTGAAAGGGGAGCAATCACTGGTAATTGCAGAATGTTCGGCACCATTCATGACTCCTCAGATACTCAGATGTATTTGACAATGCACTGAATACAGCAAGAGCTGGACAATGCACCCGTTTCGGCACGCAAGTGGCAAGTCAAGAGTTAAGCACATTGCCGTGGGCCTGGACTCACATGTAGGTCAGACCAGGTAAGGATGGCAGATTTCCTTCCCTAAAGGGGCTTTAGCAAAACTGATGGATTTTACAACATGTTACATGGTAGTCATTCTGTTCGCTTTTAATTCCAGACGTTTATTGACTCAAATTTCACCAAGTGCCATGGTGGGATTCAGGGCATTAGTCCGAGTTTCAGGATTACGAGTCTGGAGGTGGGGAATCTGGAGTCTGCTGCTGCTGTCCTCCTAGATGGAAGTGGTTGTGGGTTTAGAAGGTGCTGTCTAAAGGAACCTTGGTGAATTTCTGCAGTGCATCTTCTAGATAGTCCACGCTGTTGCTACTGAGCTTTTGTGGTGGAGGGAGTGGATGCTTGTGGATGTGGTGCCAATGAACTGGAATGCCTTGTCCTGGATAGTGTCGAGGTCCTTGAGCATTTCTGGAGCTGAACCCATCCAGGCAAGTTGGGAGTATTCCATTACACTCCTGACTTGTGCCATGTAGACTGTGGACAGGCTTTTGGATTTGCCCTTGGGTGGGGGACTGTAGCTAAGGGGAGCACATTGAGGATTCTTAACTTCAACCTGCTCTTGTAGCCACTGTATTTATAATGGCTAGTGTAGTTTAGTTTCTGGTCAATGATAACCTGCAGGATGTTGATAGTGGGCGATTCAGTGATTGCAACATGACTGAATGTCAAGGGGCAGTGGTTAGATTGTCTCTTGTGGCATTTACATGGCGCGAATGTCTGTTTTGCCACCTGCCAGCCCGAACCTGGATTTTTAAAATATTCATGGCATCGCTGGCTGGGCTAGCATTTATCGTCAATCACTAACTATCACTGGTTAGCTCAGGCCAGTCCAAAGGGCAGCTGTGAGTCAACCACATTCCTGTGGCTCTGGAGTTCAGTGTAGGCCAGATACAGTAAGGATTAAAAAGGAATTAGTGAGCCAGATTAGATTTTGCAGCATTAACTTTGCTTTTAATTCTGTTGAATTCAAATTCCACCATCTGTTATGGTGGGAGTCATACCCAAGTCTCCAGAACATTAGCCTGAATTGACTAGACCAATTACAGTACTATTGCGCTACCACCTCGCCTTACAAATTCCAAACCATCACAACCATACACATATCGAAGAAAAAGGTGCTGATTAGTTGGGGCATTGCCATAGATGTTCGCAGATGTTGTGACACACCCAGTGGGACTTGATCCTGGACCTTCTGATAGGGTACAGTATGGGTGAACTGGGAGCTGGTCTAGGCTATTCAGCCCCTCTAACCTGCTTTACCAAATCAATAAGATCACGGCTGATCTGATTGTGGTTTCGAGCCAACTTCCCGCCTACGCGCGGCAACTTTCATCTTCTCATTTAAGGATAATCCACCTGCCTGGGAATGTGCGAGGGGTCTGCTTGTTCCATCTTTCTGGGAAGAGAGTTCCAAAATCTCAAGACCGTCTGAGAGAGAAAAGGGTCACCTTCTCGGTTTTAACTGGGTGCTCTCTGATTTTTAAATAGTGATCCCCTCATTCTAGATCTTATCAGACTGTGATTGTTTTAAGTTTCTCCCTCTCTATTTCCCTTCGCTTTTCTATTAAACTTGGGGTTTTTCTAAAAAAAAAACCTTCTACTGTGAAAACACATATAAAACATTAGTCCAAAGTCTGTACTATTTCTGGTTTTCCATCCACAGTCTCACCCTCTAAGGGATCAATACACATTTTAGTTATTTTGTGTTGCTTTGTGTATTTGCTTTGTGTTCTTATTTTTTTTTATATTTATTGGTCATTTTCTGCAAAACTCTGTTTCCTCCCTTTCTTGTTTTTTTAAGTAATCTTTTCCTGGTTCCTAAACGTTCACAATCTTCTGCTCTATCATTAACCTTTGCAGTATTTGCTGTTAATATGATGCCCACACGAAGGACAAAGATACAAGCCTCAATCCACAAAGCTCATAGAATGGTACGGCATAGGAGACCATTCTGCCCATCAGACCTGCGCTGGCTCTTTGGTAGAGCTATCCAATTAGTCCCACTCCCTCTACTGAATCCACATAAACCTGCAATACTCTCCCCAAGTTACTCAATCTCCTTGGAGTTCATAATCCAGGCTAACCCTACAGTTGCTCCTTATTTAGTGAAATTAACCAGATGGAGAAAGTTGAAGATGGATGAGAATAGGAGGATGTGGATAGGTGTCTGACACAGGACAGATGATTTCACACATCGTACACATACTTCACACTGGGTTTGTGGATGCCCAGAGTGCTGTGCGATAATGAACCGTTACCTTCAGCAGCATGTGTTTCTCACTGGGCGTCAGGTACATTCTATTCTCGTAGTAATCGACGCAGATATTGACGATGTCAGCCAGGAGTTCCTCATAACCAGGGATGACCTCCAGCTGCTGGTGCAAGCACTGGAACACAGAATCATTGAATCCCCACAGTGTTGAAATAGACCATTTGGTCCATACCGACCCTCCCAAAAGCGTTTCACCCAGACCCACCCCCTACCCTATCCCTGCAGTTCCCATGGCTAACCCACCTACCCTGCGCATCCCTGAACACTACGGGGCAATTTCCCATGGCCAATCCACCTAACCTGAACATCTTTGGACTGTGGGAGCAAACTGGAGCACCTGGAGGAAACCCACGCTGACACAGGGAGAATGTGCAAACTCCACACAGACAGTCACCTGAGGCTGGAATCAAACCCAGATTGCTGGTGCTGTGAGGCAGCAGTGCTGTGAGGCAGCAGTACTAACCACTGAGCCACCATGCCGCCCCATGCTCCATCAAGAACTGAGTGGCCCAGTCTCCGAGCCTCAAGCTGTAACCAGCGCCCACTCAGGAACCTCACCACTAAGTCCCCAGGTCTTCCACCCTCTACAATTCCCAGTGCGTACACACTCACTGCAGTAAATTTTGGGTGAGCCCCTAAAAGCTAAACAAAAAAAAAAGTCAAGATGTTCTTCTTCAGCTCTAAAGGAGCATCATTTCAGACTCAATTTTAACTCAATACTTCTCTCTCCATCAGCTGAGCTTCTCCAGCATTTTCTATTTTCATTCCAGACACCATCCACCGTATTTGTTCACGGCCCAGGCTGTTCTGATCCTGGTGCAGCTTCCAATGAGACTTGAAACCCAGCTCCCGAATTCCTCACCACGTTCTTCCAAAATGGATCATCTCCTCATCTGTTTGAGGGATGACTCCTTCCCCCACCCCCACAAACCCTACCCCTCCCCATCCCTTACCTGGGTTATTCTGTTGTGATTTGCCAAGAACATGGAAAGGTTCTGAGATTCCTGGATGGACTGGGGGTCAGCCATTTTCCTCAGAAATTGAGCGGCCCTGGAACGGTTCAAGACTCAGAGTGGGTCACCTTGTCGAGAAACCTCAGAGATTCAGTACATATTTTCTAAGCTTTTTGGATTAATTTGCTCCATCCCAATTTTCTTCTCTCCTTCACAGGGCTACAGTCCTCCCCTCCTCCCTGATCCTCACTTGGGTGGCCATACATCATAATCTGAAAGACTGGCGGAACAGACCTGATGGGCTGAATGGCCTGCTTCCGCCCCTTCCTTTTGTGGTCTCGCATTTCCCACTAACTGACAGCGCCCCGCCCTCTCCCAAACATACTGACCCCTCACTGGGTTGGGAGGATGGGGTGGAGAAGACGTGTGGTTAGTGGGGAAGGTGGGGCCTGCTCAGGAGAACATGGGTTATCCTATCCTGAGACACAATTCCTCAAGGGCACGATGACCTGAGAGTTACTCACCAATCAGGGCTACTCGCTCTCGCCTACGTCAGGACAGAAAAGGCCTACAGAACTGGATTCTGCATTTGGGGTCAGCGTATTGGGGTGGGGGGGCAGGGAGGAGGCAGGTCCTGGGGAGGGTGGGACATATCTGTTAGGCGCAAGGAGCCTGAGAGGAGGAAATCCACACTTACACCAGACTATGGAGGCACATGCTAGGGTGAATGATCTCGTGTGTGACAGGTCTCTGGGAGGACTGAATGGCCTCCTCCTATCCCCCTGTGATGGGGCTGAATGGCCTCCTCCTATCCCTGTGTGAGGGGGCTGAATGGCCTTCTCCTATCCACCTGTGAGGAGGCTGAATGGCCTCCTCCTGTCCCCCTGTGACAGGGCTGAATGGCCT